TTTGCTCAGATTACCAAGAGAATCTGGAATTTGGCCTGAAAGCTTATTTCCAGCCAAACCCAACATCTGCAGTTGATCTAGTTGGCCAATTTCATCTGGAACTTCCCCAGAGATCAAATTATGGCTAACGTTTAGCAAAGCCAAGCCTCTAAGACGGCCAATGGACGGGGGTAGATTACCATATATCCGATTCCCTCCCAGGTATAATTTTGTCAGAGTTGTTGATAGATTGCCGATGTCTTTTGGAATCCTACCTTCCAAAAGATTTCCATCTAAGGCGAGGTATTGAAGATGGGAAATGTTGGACAAGGAAGTGATGAAACTTAGACCAGAATCACCAGAGCTTACAATCCGATTGAATCCAATATTATACATTTCAAGGTCTCGAAGGTTTTCTAAGCCTCCAGGAACTGATCCTTCAAGAAGGTTCCAGGACAACCGAATGCTTTTGACTTTGGTAAGATTATGTAGTGAGCCTGGAATTCCACCCGTAAAGTTGTTGATGCAAAAATTGAAGTCAATAAGGTCTGGGAGATTATTGCCAAAATCACTTGGTATTTTACCCCACAAGCGGTTTGAAGCCAAAGCAAAGAAAACAAGGGAGGAAATGTTGTATAGGGGTTGAGGGACATTGCCTGTAAGAATGTTGATGGAGAGTTCCAGCTTTTTCAAATTTTGAAGACGGCCCAAGTTACTGGGTATCAACCCACCAAGGGAATTGGTGGCTAAGTTTAGAGTAGTGAGTGAAGAAAGGTTTCCTATGGAAGGTGGAATTGTACCAGAAAGCTGGTTTTTATTCAAATTCAAGATTTGTAGGTTTGAGAGGGCGCCAAGCTCTGGAGGAATTCCTCCTGATATCTGATTGCTCGTCAAGTCAAGGACCATGAGGTCCGAGCACCTGCTTATGTTAGGTGGGATCGGACCCTCTATGAGGTTGGAGCTTATGTTTACAACTTGCAGACGAGAGAGAGCCCCAATTCGATCAGGAAGAGTTCCTGCAAGTTTGTTATTTTGGAGATAAAGGAAGCGAAGGAAGGAAAGATTACCGAGATGTGGAGTGATGGAGCCAGTTAATCCAAGGTCTCCAAGAGAAAGAGCTACCACTCTTTGCCCGGATTTGTTGCAGGTGACTCCTGTCCAATTGCAAGGTGAAGACTGTTGGCCCCATGAAGAAAGACTGTTGGAAGGGTCTGTTGCGATGAGGGACTTAAACGCGGTTAATGCCTCCTTATCTGTAAGAATGTCTAAAGAAGCTGACTCTCCAACAGGAGCTGGGCTTTGGCACTGGCAATACAAAACCAAAACAATAGCCAGGTAAAACACTGGGAATACTCTAGAGAGAGCCATCATAGCATGAGAGAGAGAGAGAGAGAGAGAGAGAGAATGGGACTGAGCCACTCTGGTTTGGTTGAGCAGGAGAATGAATGGAGAAATGAAGAAAAGAGGAGAAGAAGAAAGAAAGATAATGGAAGCGAAAAAGAGAGAGAAAGGGGAGAGAGGGAGAGAAGGAAATGGGAGGGGGATGCTGCTGCTCTTCTGTTCTTTATGAAATTAAAGAGAGGAATGTGACGTATTCAATTTGAATTGGCGCTGGAGCAGAGCGATGGGAAGTCGTTGATGACATGGGTGAGACTTTTCCTACCCACTCTCTAGGGCTCGTTCAATTTTGGAGTCATCTACTACATCCATGAGGTTGAAGGCTTGAATTTTGTAAACCACTGGTGACTTGTGATGCTGAGCAGATGGGGTCAAATTTCAGCAAAAAAAAAAAATTATCGAAGTTATAAATTTTATCTATACTGCTATATGTAAAAAGCGGATGGATAAAAGTTATATTTGAGTATACACTGTTAGTCTCTATATTTACTCTTTTACTTTCACAGCACATGCCCTTACACCATCTAGATTATAAAAGTTAAATCACATATTCACTTAGGATCATATTGTATGAAAGTTTTCATTTTCAGTCTTTCATCTTTATTTTCATATGTGCATGGCTCATTTCTTAGGCTAGTATTTGACTAAATAATCAAATGAGAGGGAAAATAAAAATTAAAAGTTTCATTTGAATGGATGAAATTATGATTTTCTTAGGAAAAGTTTAATTCATTTCTTATATAAAATTTTGTATAACTTTATGCGTCTAGAATCTAGTTGAAATTTCAATGAAATTCTTCATAGAAAAACTATAATTTTCTCAATAATACAAGGAAAAATAATGCCATTTCTTTTTTAAAATATGACTAAATTATGATTTTCATAAAGAGATTAATTCTACCGAAATTTTATCTTGAGACTTCAATAATTGCATCGGTTTTTCACACTTGGAAGATGTGGATGTGGATTTCTTCCTTACACTCGTCTTCCTTACACTTGCATTTGCATTCTAATTTCTACTTTATTCTTTTCTGTCCTCTTTTTTCTTCTAAAAAAAATGTTGTGGCCAAGATATGGTTTAAGGGATCTCAAAGAAAATGGTGTAATGGTTAAACCAAAATCGGATATTACAGTCGTGTTGATCTACTATGATAGAACCGTACATATGATGAAGAATAAGTCTGAACCAATGCTTTTTTCTTTCATATTTGAATAAACTAATTATGATTTTCCTAAAAAGAAACTCTACTAAAATTTCTTCTTGAAAATTTGAAATCAATCCATATCAAGGTATATGGTCAAGCCAAAATTTGATATTACTGTCTTCTTGGAGTTGGGCTTCTGACAGTACAAGGCCGTGTTCACACCATTCAAACTGGCTCTTGCAACCTTCCCAATGCAAGGCTGTAAAGGCTGTTCAAATGACGTTGCACTGATCGAGCCCAACTTATGTTCTTGATGTTATAGTGGTATTGATGAACAATAGGTTTGAAACGGTGCCTTTTTCTTTCAAATTTGACTAAAATATGATTTTCCTAAAAAGAAACTGTACTAAAACTTCTTCTTGAGATTTTTCTACAATTGCATCTATTTTTCAAACATGCACGTGGTTTGCTTCAATGAACTTGTATTTTGCATTCTTATCTCCACTTTTCATTTCTCTTTCCCCTTTCATTTTCTTGAAAATTATTGTGGCAATGATTTGACTAGAATAATTCTCGAAGAAAATGGGTGAATTTTAAACTGCAGTAATCAAAACGTGTGGTGATATTCTCCTCTCAATTGAAATATCATGGGAGGGAATGAAAGATTGACAATAGTCCCTATCATTAATTAATACTATATATGCTAATCCAAAATAGGATTTTAGGGTTTTCTTGATTTAACGCAGGAGAATGGTATTGAAGGAGATTAACAAGGGATCTAAAGTGATACCATTTTTTAATGGGAAAATTCCCGATAGGTATCCTGTACTTTAGGTCAAGTGCCAATTTAGTATCCAAACTTTCATTTTGCGACAATCTAGTACCCGGCATTAATCAGCCGTTAAGTGGCATGCAAAAAGACAAAAATTTCCTTCAAGTGTCATCTAATTTTCTTTATCAACCATCCGATAAAACTAGACCGGCAGTACCGCCTATTCATCGTCTCGTCTCTCTTCACTCTTTCCTCCTCTCTGTCCCTCTAATTTGCTAGTCTAAGAAAGCTACCATGGCTACCGCTGTCCCAATCGTAGGAGTTTTTAATAGTGGATGGCTGAGACTTCAGATGACAAATGAGAATATTTGGCATACCTTTGTAATGTCCAGAATATCATCCACCACCGGAAACAGCAAACCAGTGCACCTAGCATACCTTCTCACCCTCCCAACCTCGGCCATGATCATTCCACTGACAATCGAAGCTTCAAGCAACTTTGCAGTCTTATGGACATGAATGTACTCCAATTCCTTTAGGTTATGTTTAGTTTGAAGGAAAAGGTAAGGAAAGGAAGGGAAAGACAGGGAAACCAATACAAGGGTTGTAAAGGTTTCCCTACCTTTCCCTTCATTTCCATACATTTTCCTTCAAACCAAACATAAGATTAGATCCACTACATGTTGTCCCTCACAGGCAATGTCAACAATTTGGTCTGCCACAAGTTCGTCAAACCAAATTGTTGCACCCAGCTCGGCCACTACCCGAACGACAAGCTCCGACGGCACATCAATGGTCCTAGTCGCGACATGCTCAAAGGCAAGGGAAAGCAGTGCATCCCCGGATAGAACAACTATGGCATCCCCAAAAGCCTTAATGTTGGTGGGCTTGCCTTGTCTCAGATCATCGTTGTCCAAGCAAGGGAGGTCATCATGTATGAGTGACATGGTATGAGTCATCTTGACTGCACACGCCACGAGAAGAGCCAACGACTCATCCCCTCCCACTAACTCACAGGATGTGATGCACAGGATGGGGTGGATGCGCTTCCTTCCGGCCAACAATGAATACCTCATGGCCTCATGTATCTTAAGTGGATGTCTCAGAGGAACAACCTTGTTCACCCTTTCAAGCTTTGTGGCCATGTATTCCTCAAAATGGAACACTTAGCCTGAGTGGTTTAGTGGCATGCTTGGACCATCAAGATGGAAGCTCCCAAAGGAGAATTGCCGACAAAATTCCAATATTTTTGTTTAAGTTATGGCGAGTGGAAAATAGCTAAAGTCCAGCTAAGAACCATTTTTATATCTGCAGTGTGTTGTGCTGAAAAACCAGGTTTATAGAAAATGGTTTTCCAACAAAACCATCCAATTATAGAATTGTTGGTATTATCTATTATTATCCTATTTCTATGATATAAGCCATAAAAGTCTCAAGTTCAACTCAAGGCTGGCTAAAAGCGGCCAAGCCCAACTCCGAAAGTCCGAAGTCCAAACTTGTTAGGGAAGATACACTACAGTAGAAGAAATGAGTGTAAAAACAATCCCAGGACAGAAAGAACCTTTCCCCTAAGTTTGTGTGTGAAATGGGTTTGCCAACAACAATGATAACAAATAAACAGTTCAGCCAGGTAACAGAAAAATAGATAGCAGTCACCACACAATAGCACACCAGAATTTTTACGTGAAAAACCCCAAAATCGGGGAAAAACCATGGGACGTATGGTCCATAAAAGTCTTCCACTAATTCAAAAATTAATGCGTACAACAGTCCTCTCTAGTTGCAATTAGAGGCTTACAAACATCAAGTAAATAATCCTTGGCTCACAAGAACAACATTAGCATCACCGAATGTAAAGTGGATACAACAAAAACAGAGGCTTAGATCTCACCAAGTTGCTGTAAATCTGAGCTGAGAAGAAGAAGAAGGAAGAGCCAACAAATCTGAACTGGAGTGGGATTCTTAACTCTGGCACTTAATCTCATCAAGAACGGACTTGAAACACCTCTGATCTTGGCCTTGAATGGAGTGGAAAAACCAACTCCCTTCTTCTCTTCTTCACAAACTCAAAAAACCCAGAAACCCTCGGTTCTTTGTTTTATCCTCACTTGTTTTTCTCAGTTCAGTGGTTACGAACACATGAGACCCAAAACAGAAAAAGGTGGAAGCCTTTTTGGCTTCCACTATATGGCTCCTTTTGGAAGTATGTAAAGTTGAGGTGGGCCCCTCATATGGGCTGCACCCACACCCAACAATTCTCCCCCTCCAGCTCATCAGTATGAATCTTCTCAATATTCGACAACTTCATATCCAACACATCCCGAATCCAATGGTACCTTACATCAATGCGTTTGGATCTTGAGTGGAAAGTTAGATTTTTAGAGAGATGGATAGCACTCTGACTATCACAATAGAGAACATATCTTTCTTGATTCATGCCCAATTCTTGTAGGAATTTCTTCAACCATAGGATATCCTTACAAGCTTCTTTAACTACAATGTATTCAGCCTCTATGGTGGACAATGCAACACACTTTTGAAGTTTGGATTTCCATGAAATTTCTCCCCCCTACAAAAGTTATTAAGTATCCCAAAGTGGACTTTCGGGAGTCAACATCACCAGCCATGTTAGCATCCGTATACCCATCCAATATGACTTTACCATTCCCAAAGCATAAGCATATCTGAGAAGTACCTCTGAGATACCTGAATATCCATTTTACTATTGTCCAATGTTCTTTATCGGGGTTAGAGAGAAACCGACTAACTATACCAATAGAATGAGCAATATCTAGCCTCGTGCACACCATAGCATACACTAAACTACCAACTGCTGAAGCATAAGGCACTTTCTTCATTTCTGCTTTGTCTTTCTCACTTGTAGGGCATTGTTTAGTGTTGAGATTGAAATGACCTACAAGTGGAGTAGTAATTGGTTTTGCATTGCTCATGTTGAACCTCTCGAGAACCTTCTCAATATATTTTTCTTGAGATTACTATAACTTCCCATTTTGTCTATCTCGAGAGATCTTCATACCAAGAATTTGTCTAACCAGTCCCAAGTC